TCATTAATTATTCCCCAGATTTCCTCCTGAGGTTTTAAGTTCTACCTATGTTACAACATCTAATTATCTGTACCTAGGTTGCATGTGGCCCTTGAAAAACTACATGTGCCACAGTCGCTATAGCAATACCGGGTTGACAGGCATATTTTTCCACATGTATTTAAGCATAAATGTGTGGGATTGAGTTCTCTTTTAAAGTTACATTCATTGCCTGGGTTGTATGTAAAGTGTTGAGTGTACCTTCTTTCATTTCCTTTTATATGTTTACATAATAGACAAAATTTAGAAGAATTAGTCCAGGAGAACTAGTGAGACCAATCATGAAACAAACAAGAACACAGATCTGAGGCTCTTTTTGGGAGTATTAGACAGATAGCAGAAAAAACTAAATAAAAATTTATATAGTGGGCTAGACACAAAAGGAATATTATATTCAAATTTCTTCTCCAAATAAAATATGGGAGAAGGGGAATTAGGGAAAATTAAAGGGATGAGCTATGGGTTGATTTTTATTTATTTAGATCTTGATAGAATATTGTGTTTAACAGAATTAACTTCTGTTTTGTTCTATTTTTATTTGTTTAGTGCCAGTTAGTAGAAGTTATCAGGCTCCAAAAATCACTTTCTGTGAAGATCTAAATTTCCAGGCCTGTTGAAGTTAAAACACTTTTGGTTGTTTCTTGACCAGTAATTTTAAAATGATTCCATATCGTTTTCTAGGTTGTAAATAATGTGTATATCTGTGTATAGTTTATGGCTGTTTCAAGCAGGTAGAGGTAGGGGAAGGTTAAAGGGTATAGCCACAGGGGAGTGGATACGGTTTTGGGTGCTAACATGACCCAAATATGATCTTCAGTATTTCACTTGAGAGAAGTCCTGAAAATAAAAAGACTACATCTCAATTACTTCATTTATTTTAAAAACTGGAAACCACTAAAGGTACTAATATTGTATCTGGAGTTTTGGAGCTACGAAACTTCTGCTTATATACAGAACTGCTCAGGAAGTTCTTCCTGCCTGCCAAAGCTCAGATAAAACTGTCATATGATTTTGATTCAAATTCATACTTGAGTTTTGTTAGGCACGGTATCACTTTGTTCACAAATGGTCTTTGCTAACTTCATGAGGTCTTGATTGCATTTCACAGTCATGAAAGGCAGAATGTTTCTGCAGTTTCTAAATGTATTTGTCTGAAACTTTCTCAGTGAAGGTCCTTTCTTATTGGCAAATTTGTCCATTTTGACTTAAAACCAAAATCAGAAATGGCCTTTTGGCCATTTGGTCATTACCGTTTGGGAAAAAGTGAAATTTAGAAGTTGTGTAAATATGAATTTGTTTAACCTAAAACACTGCTGGTGTGTTTGAGGGAATAAAAGCAAAAGTACCTGGTTTTAACTTGTAGTAAAAAGCAGTGTGGATTCTGAAATGTGTTATTGATTTGTTATGAAGCTGAATTGCAGAGAAGTGCTACCCTGGCTCTTAGTGGGATAAATCCCCAAGTTAGATAAAAGTTGCCTTAGGTATGCCTGCTCTAGAGTAACTAGTGCTGAGATTGAGAGACAAGAAACTTCACACTGTTATGTTCACTAAATATGCCCGTTCTCTGCAACAGCCTTCAAATACCTGTATTAATGTACTGTGTCTAAAGATTGCATGTTAATTGGTTTGCTAAATATAGTGATACTGATGCAACAGTGTGCTAATGCTGCATATGATGCTCTTCTGTGCATTTACATTAATAACTGATATGTACGGAGTCTTTTAAATTGGATAAAATTGAGGAGGATTTAAAAACTGGTGAGTTTAAAATGGTTTCAGTTATATAATAAAGTTTCTTAAAGTCCACAAAGGATTTATGAGAAATGGTAGATAATATTGTCAGGCACTGAAAGTAGCTTGGTGTTGAGTAAGCTTAGTATCTCCTTGTTTTATTGTGTAAAAATTCTTGGACTTTTCAGTCAAGTATTTCTATCAGTTCATACAAAGCTCTGTTGGAGAGATTTCTAGTTTCAAAAGCAAACTCAGTATTAATAGAGGTCTCATAATTTTTAGTGTTAATGGCAGTGTCCAGTATGTGCTAAGTGATAGCTACAATGATTTCAAAGACAAAAATTTGCTCTAAGACAACAAGCACCAAGTGAAGGAAGTCAGAGCAGGATATGGTGTACAAATTTTAGAATTAATACTAAGAATGCATCTATAGCCCTCATTTCTTGTTTATTTTATGCCTGTTTTAATTCTTTATTCATCTTAACAATTCAAGCATGTACCCAATATCTGTCTGTGTGCCAGAAAGCTGTCTTGGACTGTACAAGTCACTGGGGAGATGTTACTTCTCTGGAGGCCAGTGGCACCAGCTTTCTATTAGGTCCATAAGCCTAAAGGGGGTATACTCTATTCTGCTTAGCAGTGCATGCTGGAAAGCTAGGGTAATTCCTAAAATGCCCCGATGCTTTGAAATTCCTCCTCACCGCTCAGCAAGAGAAGCTGTGGGGCTTTTTCTTCTTTTTTCCTTACCTTTAAATTATATTTAAGTGAGATTATAATTAAATGCATATAAAGAGTGTTTAGAACATCAAAACTAGGTAACACACATGCTTATAAAAGATGCAAGTGAAGATATGAACTGCACTTCAGCTTTGGGAGAATTTTCTGATGTAGTCTTACTGAGTACAGTTTTTCCTGTCTGGATGACTTTGTAGGTCTCCATTGGTAGAACAGCCATGTGGATTTCTCTCTTTGTGTGCCATGTACCTGAGACTGCAGCTCTTAAATGGAGCTTTCATCGCAAAATTCCTGTCTCAGTAGCCCAGACAGGAAAAAAAAAATGTAGCCCAAATGCCTCTTTGAAGAGGGATGATGAGCAGCTTTCATCCATCACTTAAGCTACATACTACTGGCTAGAGCAAATGTCTAGCTGTTCCTAACTGAAGTTAAGTGCACTCATGTTTCTCTTCTTGAGCTAGACAGCATCCTTTGTACTTGACTGGCTAACTAGCAGGTTCTCACCCGTAAGAGGAGTAAATCTTTTGCTGTTCCTTCTGTTGACTAGTGTGAAATGTGTTACGTTGGTTCTTATATTCTCTCTAACTCTGCAAGTTGGCATACATAATACAAGTATTGGTTGCTCAGTACTGGCTCTGGATTGTGTAAGACAGGGTAAAACTGTAGTTAACCAGTGTGAGGCAAGTGACTACCAGTGTTTTTCTCCTCGTTATACTGTAGCTTTTTCAATAAAAGGAATCTGGTAGAGTCCTACTTCTGTTGTCTGTCCTAATCTTTTTTGTTAATTATTTACGTCTCTGAAGACCGCTGAAGTTAGGTATGATATTGAAAAACTAATTGCCGTATGTCACCAGGTAGAAGGATGGTTTCTTGCTGCTGATGATTTTAATGGGAAAATAAGAGCTAGTTAAGAACAAAATATCATCTTGAATGGTCAAGAATCTTTTATCAAAAAGGCTCGTTTCTTTTTGTGCTGGAACATGTGTTGTCTTCTGCTGTACAAATTCAGGAAGGAGGGGATGTGGAATAAACTGATTTTTTTTTCAGTGTGTGTTGAAATTTCAGATGTTCTCACAATTCTAGTTAAATGCATCTCTTCTTTATGGGATATTGCAGTTCATGACTCATTGTTCACCGTTATCTCAGGTAATTCACAATCAATCTGCCGCTGTGATTCCAAGAGGACAGATGAAAACTGTTTGTGGCTGCTGTTTTAGTTATGCTGTAAAGGAGCACTTCAGGACTGTTAAAAAAGGTCTGAAGTGCATTAGCAGTATTCTGACCTTGATACATACCTTTGAACAGTTTTAAGAGTCATGTTACTGTGAACCTGTTACTAAACTTGGGACTCTACGTGCTGTGCCCTGGGCAAATCAGCTATGAGTAGTTCACATAGCCGCTGTCCTAGCTGGGTTTTCAGTATTTCTGTTAGAGCAGAGTCAACAGGAATCAACAAGTGCCTATTTCTTAGTTGCTGTTCTTCTGACATAGTAGCAGGAACGTGGTGAATAGCTAAAAGAAGGTAGCATTTTAAAGTTTTAGAACAAGGTGGCATAGAGTTTTGAGTTGGAGCATTTAATTTTGGGGCAGAGCAATGTGATTAAAGTTATCTCTGACTAGCATGAGTGAAGACTTTTTTATTATAACATAGGAATACAAGGTGCAAGGGCAATTGATTCTTGTATGACGTAGACATGGATATATTAACAAATAAATATGCAGACACCAAGTGAACTGGGAAAAAATACTTTTGATCTTGCACTTCTATGTATAATCAGTAAAACTTGCTGAAAATTACAATTTCTAGTACAAAGCTACCTACAGGTTCCTTATTGCTGCTGGCAGTAGCAACTCCAGCCCACATGCTATCACATGAGGGTGCATTTCGCTGCTTGGGCATTATTCTCTTTTTGCAATAGAGAGCCTCTGTAACTACATTTTGGGAAGGACAGCAACATTGTTGATTAGTTGTGGTGGGAAAGAGAAGTTGACAAATATAGTTGTACTTTCCTAAAGAAAAAATAGTTTTTTAAAAAATAGTGACTTGAAGAGGTACAAAAATATCTGTACTTTTACTTCATAAAGAAAACGTAGGTGGGTGGGGGTTTTTTAACCAGATAAAAACTGTGACTTGAATAGTGATCTGGTCTTGTTGATAAAGTGTATATAATATTCTCATCTGTATAAGGGTAGTAACATAATTATGTCGAGAATCTCCACAGTGTGTTGCAATCTGTCTAATGCAGAAGGCATGGTATTGCATTTGTTTGTGTTGCAGTAGCTTCTAAAAGTCTGGGATGGAGCCTGAATTTCTAATGTGATATGTACTCTTACAAACACATAACAAAAGCATTTTTCCAAACTTTTTGCTGCATATAGTTTTAAGATTATTTTTTTTCAGGTATCCTAAAAAGAGCTTCTAGTTTTATTTTTATGGTTATAACTTTCACTTTGCCTAATATCCACACTGATTATGGTATAAATTTCCTTTGCAGTTTACGTGTGAACTTGGACATGGGTAAGGCAGCCTATGGGTGGATGATTATGAAAGATGACAATATTCCTGGAACAGTTGTTCGAACTAGCACCATACCAGAAGAGTTGGGACGATTAGTTTATTTACTAACGGATAAAACAGGTATATCAGGTTACAATTCTGAAATGCGATGACTTTTATAAAATTTCTAAACTTTCTTCTATATTTGAATGTGTTAATGTAAGAGTAGATTTAGAGTACTGATTTTTATTTTTCAGTAAAATTTTAAGCATGTGCTTGAGGACTTTGTACCAGTACCAAAAGGCTTAGGTAGGCTGGTATTTACATGTGAAAGTCAGTATTTGGTAGCAATCTGATTTATTCCAGTGGGAACACTCCTGCTATAGTAACAGGACGCTGGATGGCATTAGCAAGAGTACCATATATCTTACTCCAGAAAGACTCTGGATTAGCACTCAGAATGCTATTTTATTCTACACCTCATTTCTGCTGCAATACTGTATGATAGTAACAGATAAGAATGGCCTTCAAGAGTGCAAGTCATTTCCAAAACAGGTCATAAGATCAGCCTTCACATTGACATCTGCTGTCCCCATGAAGTTAGTTGTTCTTTGTTACAAAGACCAGTAGATCTGCTGTATGATTTAATCTTCATAACTGTAACCTGTTACTATACCTGACCTGGTATACTGGAAAACCCAACCCTTACCAGGATCAGAAGGTAGGTGTGAAGAAGTAATAGCTTGCGCTATGCTGCTCTTTGCCGTTAAGACTGTAACAAGTTTCAGTCATACCATGCTCTTAGTTCTAGATGTATTTAAGGAATCTTAAAGTTTATTTCGGAAAATATCATAGTAAGTAACAAGTTAAATCCTGTAGCAAATACAGTATTTCTTTTCCTTTCTTGGTTCTTTCTGAGATTGAACAAATCAGTTCTGGTAGACATATTGGGTTTTTAAGAAGGTGAACTTTTGAACTGAGGAAGTTGTTTCTCAAACAGCTGAAGAAATTTGTAGTGGTTTTAAGTAAAATATAGTTCAAAATGGTGAGAAAGCATTGGGGGGCAGGGGTTGGCCTCTGATACACTGTTCAGAAAGCATAATATACAGTTTACCTCTCTTTCTGCTTGACATAGTTCCACATTCCCTCCCATGCTGAACATTTCCATTACTGCTTATTTTGAAATTAAATGTAAATTTAATATACTGTCACACTTTGAAAACACACTTTCATTTTTTTCTATAGGTACATGTTACCCTGTACACTTCTGAATGCTGTTCTTTGATTTCTTAAAAGATAGACAACTGCCACCTTCTTTCTTAGCATGTAGAAAAGTGTATTGCTAATTATAGTGCAGTAATTCTTCAAAGCAAGTGAACAATTCTTCTTTTAACAAGTTTTATTTCAGTTAGCTAATGATTTGTATGCTGTTTGAAACTGCTTATTGATTTTAATTGCACCCTTCATCATGATAATTTATGTAACTTTAAGAGTGCTGTCTCATTGAAGGCTTGAAATATGTAATTTACAGCATATGTTTGGAAAAGGGAAGTATGTTCAAAAATAATGAATTTTCAAAACAATGCAGTAGAGTTCATTTGCCCAAAGCACTACTTTGTAAGCAAAACCAATGTCTGCTTCTTAAACATTTCTGTTAGAGAATCCAATTCCAGCCAAACTGGAAATGCGGTTCAAGCGTTGAGGTATTCTGCTTACAGTTAGACTGCACTGAAAATTTTAAGAGGCTTGCTAAATAAAATGCTAACAGTTTCACCCAACTCTACAATGCAGGAATTATATTCTGACTCTGGTGACCATCTTATATTCTGAGGCACAAGGGTCAGTGTACTATCTTCTTTTCCTCACACTGTATGTACCTACTACCCTGTTTGAGAAACAGAAGGTTGTTAGAAAAAAAAAACAGCTGCTGCAGTTCTACTTCTAGAAAGACAACCAATACACTTGAAACCAAAGTTTTTCTCCTTTTAAAATAAAAAAAATTGGGGGGGTGGGGCAAACATAATTTAGTGATACTGGGTTTTTCAAAGCAAAAATACTGTGTTACATTATAGATGCTTTGAAAGGATACATTTTACTGACTTGCATATATGAAGAGAAACAACCCTGTTTTGCTTCTGATTGTTTTTTGGGTTTTTTCAACCCACATCATGCCACTTGCAATCACAGTAGTTCTGCTTAATTTTAAGAAGCAGCACTTGTATTCTGGCCTTTCAGAGTGCTTACTTAAAAGGGGATGAATAGACAAATGTTAAAATGCTTTTACCAGCAAATGTGTTTATGTATAGTTTGGAGGATTGCTAGCATTCAACCTCAAAGGCTTTTCAGAGCCCTGAAGTCTACTGAGTTCTGGAGGAAGGTCTGAATCTCTAAGTTAATGATGTAAAAATGAAAATAAAAGCAATATTGTAGGGCAGTAGTTCCAGAATGTTTTGGACTAATAGTCAGCAGTCGCACCCTCTGTGCTTTTAGCCATGTGTCAGCTGAAAGCTGATGTAAGTTAAACTAAGCCTGGAGTCCAGCAGACATCACCAGCTTCTGAACACTGACCATGGCCTTGTGGACCATGCTCTTCTTCAGATTGCGATGGGAAACACTGCTCAATTTTATTAGTCTTAAATGCCCTGCAAATTTTAAAGTATTTTTAATTCTGCACAAACATGTAGGCAACGTACCTTTTACCTGAGTATATCAGTAGCTGCTTCCAGTTTCCTTTCCTGAATACATTTGGTCTCATTCTGCTTTTTATCATAAATATGAAACATACTGTTAGGTAATGAACAGAATCTGTACAGTTAATCAATGCTTGCCATTGCATGATTATAGCACTGTTCATGAGAGCTGGCTTCAGTACTTTCTCACTTGAATTTTCAGTTGTAGTCATATAAACCAGTTGATTCTGTTCTTCTGCCCACTTAAAACTTTGGCTGTCAGAGGAGAAAGAAGAGAGCCAGTTTTGTAGCTGTCTGTACAAGTGGATGCTACTAAAAGGCTGGTCTAGTTAAATGTAAACAGGTGAAGTTTTTCTCAATATTGAAAATGAAAAGGAATCCATAGAACAGTCTGCAAAAATCTTATATTGTGGTCCAAGCTTCACTGGAAATGATTGAGAATTAGTTGTTGAGTCTAAGGAGCATTGCATTACTAACATAATTGCAAGGTAGTCCTTTGTATGATTGTAAATTGGGTTTGTGCTTCATCAATAAGCTTTTTGACAAGAAGCGTCCATCACAGTGGCTCTCTCATTTGCCACAGTAGAATAGAAAATGAAGTATCCCAATAATTGCATTATAGTTTCCTTATTGTGGGACAAGAAAGCAATGTGGTATAATTAGGTTTGATTGGAGTGCATGTTTCCGGTAAGATCTGAAATTAATGATGTTGCTATAGTGACACATCTGCGGCCACCAGTGCGTGAAACATAAAGTAATTCATTCGACAAGAGAAGACATCTGTTAACTGCAAGGATGCAGAGCATATTGACACTGACCAGAAATACTAGACGTTATGTGATAAATGAACAAATGATGCTGAAACAGGAGGACAGATAATTTGTACTTAATCTGCTGGGAGAACTTTAATCTTCTCACTGGTTGCATTTGACAATGCCATTGTTTAAAGAACAATGCTGCAGAGAACTCATAAATTTTAAAACTTAACTCAGGGTGCAGCCTATTAAAGCAATACATTAATTCCTTTGTTAGGGAGTTTTTATCTTCATGTAGAACAAAGCCATTACTAAAAAAACCCACTAAAACAACAGGTTTTTTAGGACTCACATTTTAATTATAGCATCCATTACCCAAAATGCCACGTTGTTTGGACTTGAATCACATATAAGTTTGACAGAAAGGCGTCATCCGGGGGCGGGGGGGGCAGTTACAGGGGGGAGCAGTTTCCAGCAGTTTCGAAGGGCAGCTGAGCATGATATCTCATCCTCTTCAGGGTACAAAAAGATTCTAATCATGAAAGAAAAATAAAGATATTTGGCAATATTTATTGAACATTTTGTTGCTTAGGATGTGGGATGGCAAACCTGCTGTTCAAGACAACTACCAGAGTATTCAGCTAAAACAAACGCGTACAGTCTTCCAAGTGTAGTTATCTACTAATGCGTACACTTGTATTTGAATTCTTTAATTAACATTTTAGCGGGTGTTTGGACCAAATGAGATACTTAGCAGATATAATAGTTGAACAGATGCATAGAGCAATGGGATTCTTGATTTTCTGGGAAAGCATTGTGTTAGAGGTTGGTGTATATGGGCTTTTTCATTAAATGTGCCTAATGTAATGTACTGCTAGAATAGTGACTTTCAGTAATTGTTTCTGAAAATTAATCTTTTAAGGTATACTTTAATTGAGTCTTTATCTGCTCAACATAAGCTACCACAGAGTAATTAAAAAACATGCTGTTGGAATAATGTCTCCTCACTTCACTTTGATGGATATATATTCACACTATTGCCCTTCCATTTCCTCTACCTCTGATTTTTGGTACCGTGAAGGTTGCAGGGTGAGTAAAGCAGACTAGGAATGGAAAGTTTTGATGGAGAGATTAAACAGGAAGCTTCCAGACATGCACTCAAAGTAGATCAGTCAAAGGAATCCTTTGTGGCTTCTGTTGGACTCCCACCAACTGAAAATACACGGTGTATCCAATGAGTATGGATGTTGCTTTTGGTTATTGCTGTCATTCTTGTGAGAGGCAGAAGGCACAGAGGAAATAGCTACTGCTATTCATAGCTTATGTTAACTGTTACCTCTACCATTACCTTCTGCCCAGAAGAGAATAAACATATCTCAGCTCTCTTTTGTCTTTGCCCTCATTCTTAATGGGTTGGTTTGGTCTGAGGTTTTGTGGTGGTTATGTTTATGGCCTGTTCTTAAGTGGAGCAGCTGAGTGAGCAGACTTATTCTACATATGTGTTCACCATGATTTTTTTCGTTTTCTTTTTACATTCTATACCAGGTTATATTTTTTCCCAGGGTTCATAGAAAGAATTTGCATCTCCAGATTGTTGCCAAGTCTAATTATTAAGAGCGTTGGGCCTGATCTCCCTTAAAGTTTCCATAGAAATGTTCACATTTACACTGACTTTTTATGTGTTTAAGCAAATAGCTCAAACTAAGTACTCGTATTTTATGAAAAGTTACTCACCCTCTCAATTTCTCACAAAGTTATTAATGCTTCTGCGGTACATATTTTCTTGCTTTTTTTATTTTTGGCCTTTTTAGATTGTTGGTATTGGTCCAAATTACCATCTCATAATATAGGATCAGAAAGATCTGCATCTGCTTTTCAAAAACAAAATAAAAAAAACTCTACTGCTCTGTTGTGAATCACATCTGTTGCCACCCAGGGAATGATGCCTTCAGGACTTTTTCCTTAGAAATTAATTTCCTCTTTGCCTGCTTTACTCTGTGTTTAAT